CAAGTATAATAAATTATCAGGCATAATTTACCTACATTTGATTGATTTATTTGTATTACTGTTAATACACTAGAGGTGATATACCTTAACTTTAGTGAGCGGCTCAACCTTTCGCATATTTTTCTGTCTGTGGCCCTCAGTGAAAAAAGTTTGGACCCCCCTGCTTTAATACGTGGAACACTTCCTGCATTTCGCTCTCGCTCGCCCCTCGCGTCCAGTAGTCGTATTACACTGTTTAACGTTCCCGTCTTCCTCGGTGGTTTGATTTAACGGTCTCACTTCCGCCCCGCTGCTCTCGCTCGCCCCCTAGTGTGATAACCGGCACTCCGCTTGTTGTTGCGCGCAACCGCACCGCCGTTCCTTCCCTGCACCCCCCTCGCCTCCCCCCCTCTCTCTCACCCCCTCTGTGCTCACACACACACACACACACACACACACACTCTGGTTTTGATTGCTTATTTAGTGAGAAGGATTAAAATAAGTGTTATGGGGATTGTTGGTTGCAGTTATAGGTGATCTTGATTGGTGTTCCTGTGAGTTAATAAACCCTGTTATACTTTAAAGAACCGTTTTCCTGTGTTTACTTGTGCATTTATATGGTGGTGACCGTTGACATACATCGCCAGTGCTCAAACTTAACTCCTTCCAACATCTTCACTCTCAAGGAGTGAATATCAATTATGAGACTTGATTTATAGTATTGGTTATTGGTCCCTGTTAGCTCAGGGTGGTGCCCCGTTATTTATTCATTCTGAGAAGTATCTTAGTGATTATTAATAATTCTATTAATGTCCATAAGTTAGTTCCTCATTTGCTAGTAACCTAATACGACCCCCTAGCCGCTCCCAACACTTCTCATCCAACCACAATCACATTCACTCCATCCGGATGGCAACATTTATCTGGATAGGGTGTTTTTGGTATGTTCTGTTCATTTCTACGATATAGTTGATACTAATTCCAGGTCCACCATCAGCTGTTGGTTCTTCACTGAGCGTCTGTGGCCGACTGTCACCTGTAGCTTCAACAAGTCCACTCTTATCATCCAGGGAACCGTCTCTCAGCGCAAAGCACCAAAAGCAGGTGAAGCTGAACTCCTTTAAAACACCAAACGTTCCTGCTGTGATGATCCATCAAGACGCATTGAACAGATTGTTTCTCTGACTGTTTGTCTCTTAATAATAATGTCTGGACTAAAGGACAAACACACACTGGAGGCAGAGGACCAGCATCTAAACATCCAAGTGTTGTTTGAGTTGTTAAGAGCCACAAACCTGCAGCGTGACCACGTTGACTCATATCAACCCACCATGATGCCGTCAACGTGTCAGGAGACACTGTCCTCTCTTATAACGTGGAGACAAGACGAAGCTCCAAAGAAACAAGGCTTTCATCACCTTCCTCCCTGTTCAGGCTCATCCTGGCTACTGTTCCTCACTACTTCTGTCTGTGTTGATGGCCTCATGTGGGACACAAACAGTTTGATGAGTCTCTGGTAGTTTGAGGTCAGCTTGGTGTGTCAGGGTCTTATTAACCAGGCTGACAGTGGGACAGAGAAAAGGTTTCCAGCTCTACCTCCTCTACCAGACTGATGGTCTGTGGCCGCAGCCTCTTCATACCTGAGAGTCTCCAGTCTCCAGTGAGGATCCTCCACACCAGCAGACAGCAGCTTCACTCCTGAGTCTCCTGGATGATTGTAGCTCAGGTCCAGCTCTCTCAGATGGGAGGGGTTGGAGCTCAGAGCTGAGGCCAGAGAAGCACAGCCTTCCTCTGTGATCAGACAGCCTGACAGCCTGCAAACACACAGAATAAGAGACATGTCATATGATCTGAGGGAGCTGTGAGGGCTGGAAGGTCACTGCAGTACTGAGATCCTATCAGGTACAGAGGGGTCACATTAACATGGTTACTGACTGGTTTCCAGTCACAACTAAACACCCACTAATGTACATCAACACTCTGATAACATTACTACTAACTCTATAATGTCAAATATTTACATTATATTGAAAATAAACACATTTTATGACTGGTTATAAAATGGTTTCCAGTCACAGTTGGAAAATACATATTTGATTTAAATCATGCAAGCAGAAAGAATCATATGAAGGTCAGAAATGTACCATGGATATAAATAAAGACACCAAGTGGACTTTAACTTAATCTGACCTGAGAGTCTCCAGTTCACAGTGTGGACTTTTCAATCCAGCAGAAAGCAGCTTCACTCCTGAATCTTGCAGGTGGTTGTTACTCAGATCCAGCTCTCTCAGACTAGAGGACTGGGAGCTGAGAACTGAGGACAGAGTGTCACAGCTTCTCTCTGAGAGGTTACAGTCACTCAGTCTGAAGAGAGGGATGAAGAAGAAGCAGTAAGTATAAAAGATGGCAGCATATTTAAGTTCTGATGTATGAATTAACTCTCTCTGTACTTACAGAACTTTGTTGGAGGCTTTGACTACTGGCAACAGCCTCAGAAGAGCCTCCTCTGAAGCAGAGTATTTCTTCAGGTCAAACACCTCCAGATCTTCTGATGACAGTAAGATGAAGACCAGAGCTGACCACTGAGCAGGAGACAGTTTATTTGTGGAGAGACGTCCTGATCTAAGGGACTGTTGGATCTCCTCCACTAGAGAAATATCATTCAGTTCATTCAGACAGTGGAACAGATTGATGCTTTTCTCTGGAGACACATTCTCACTGATCGTCTTCTTGATGTACTGGACTGTCTCCTGATTGGTCTGTGAGCGACTTCCTGTCTGTGTCAGCAGACCTCGTAGGAGAGTCTGATTGGTCTCCAGGGAAAGACCCAGGAGGAAGCGGAGGAACAAGTCCAGGTGTCCATTAGGACTCTGTAAGGCCTTGTCCACAGCACTCTGGTAGAGACGCATTGGTTCAGGTTTGTCTCCAAAGACTTTAGACCACAGGGAGGTTGTTTGTTGTTGTTCGTCTGACAGCAGATTGACACCAGAGCTGAAGAAGGTCAGATGGACATGAAAAGCAGCCAGAAACTCTTGAACACTCAGATGGACGAAGCAGAAGACCTTGTCCTGGTACAGTCTTCTCTCTTCTCTAAAGATCTGAGTGAACACTCCTGAGTACACTGAGGCTGCTCTGATATCGATGCCACACTCTGTCAGGTCGGATTCATAGAAGACCAGGTTGCCTTTCTGCAGCTGATCAAAGGCCAGTTTTCCCAGAGACTCGATCATCTTCCTGCTCTCTGGACTCCAGTGTGGATCCGTCTCAGCTCCTCCATCGTACTTGACCTTCTTCACTTTGGACTGAACCACCAGGAAGTGAATGTACATCTCAGTCAGGGACTTGGGCAGCTCTCCTCCCTCTCTGGTCTTCAACACCTCCTCCAGAACTGTAGCAGTGATCCAGCAGAAGACTGGGATGTGGCACATGATGTGGAGGCTTCGTGAGGTCTTGATGTGAGAGATGATCTTGCTGGCCTGCTCCTCACCTCTGAACCTCTTCCTGAAGTACTCCTCCTTCTGGGGGTCGGTGAACCCTCTGACCTCTGTCACCATGCCAACACACTCAGGAGGGATCTGATTGGCTGCTGCAGGTCGTGTGGTTATCCAGAGGCGAGCAGAGGGAAGCAGCTTCCCCCTGATGAGGTTTGTGAGGAGCACATCCACTGAGGCCGACTCTGTGACATCAGTCAGGATCTCATTCTTGTGGAAGTCCAGAGGAAGTCGACACTCATCCAGACCGTCAAAGATGAACACAACCTGGAACTCTTCAAACCTGCAGATCCCTGCTGCTCTGGTTTCACTGAAGAAGTGATGAACAAGTCCCACCAAGCTGTACTTCTTCTCTCTCAGCAGATTTAGCTCTCTGAAGGTGAATGGAAATGTGAACTGTATGTCCTGGTGGTCTTTGTCTTCAGCCCAGTCCAGAGTGAACTTCTGTGTTAGCACTGTTTTCCCAATGCCAGCCACTCCCTTAGTCATCACTGTTCTGATTGGTTCCTCTCCTCCAGCTGAGGCTTTGAGGAGGTCTTCTTGTCTGATAGTTGTTTCTGGTCTGGCTGGTTTCCTGGATGCTGTTTCAATCTGTCTGACCTCATGTTCTTCATTGACCTCTGCAGTCCCTCCCTCTGTGATGTAGAGCTCTGTGAAGATCTCATTCAGAAGGGTTGTGTTTCCTGCTTTAGCGATCCCCTCAAACACACACTGGAACTTCTTCTTCAGGTTGGATTTAAGTTCACGCTGACAAACTGCAGCATGCAGTCCTGGATGAAGACAACAAAGAAGATCCATGAGTCAAAGAATAGATTTAAACATGTCCTTTCTTCAGAGAATGACTATGAATATATTCTGTCCATCTCTGGAGACATTAGTGAAGGTCTTTGGCGTCGTCGTGGCGCAGGGGTTAGAGAAGGTGCGCTGGGAAGCACAAGGTTGGTGGTTAGAGTCCAGGCTGCCCCATGTCGAAGGGTCCTTGAGCAAGACACCTAACCCCTAATTGCTCCCCGGGCAAAAATATGAAAAAGCCATGGGTTTAAAGTGTAATGTAAGTCGCTTTGGATAAAAGCTTCTGCTAAATGACTTGTAATGTAATGTCTCATTTATCAGCATGGTAAGTCTGTAGAGAAATCCTCTTACTGCTCTGCAGACGCTCAGCCAGCTCCTCCTGCTTCATTCTCCTCAGGAAGTGCACTGAGATCTTCACAAAGGCCTCTCTGCTCCTCCTCTGCTCTTCATCCAGCACCTCCTCTTTCTCTAAGCATTCTGGGTAATCTGAACTCACAACCTTCTGGAGTTTCTTCAGCTCGTTCTTCACAAAAGTGAGAATGTTCTCCTCCAGCAGCTGGAACAGAACATTCTATGAATGACACCAACTAGAACATGGAAGCCACCATCAGGTCCATGTTGGACAGACGGACAATCCACTGGTCTACAAAGTGCAGCATGGAGATGATGGTGAACTGAGAGATGTTAAAGTAGTTGTACATGTACACACCATGAAGATGGAGTCCAGGTGTGTTTGATGCTGCTGGGCAGACGGACCTGTGGGAACCTCTGAGCTCTCCTGGTCCTCTCTGTGGAGGAACATGAACCATCAGCTCACATGGTGTTTGGACCATCAACACCAATACAACATTAGTTAAAGATATTGGCTTCTGTCATGATTGATCATGATGAAAACCAGATGCTGAAGACTGTCGATCATGACGGACAGTTTATTAGTTGAGTGACAGTTAGTCATCAGTTTCATCTGGTTTTAGTTCTTACTGTGGGTCATAAAAACAACGTCTGCAGACCTCTGCATCTGGTCCAAAGTCCTATGGAACTACTCCAAACCTCTTTAGTCCGTCCCCTGACCTCTAGAAGTCTCCTTAGATCTTCTGAAACTAGTCTTTGGACCTTTTCACAGTCTACTGACGATACTTTGTCCAAACCTCTGCATGGAGTCCAGAGACCACGTCAGCTGGTCCACAGAGCACTGAGTTTGTTCTAATCACATGTTCAGTCCCAGTCATCTGTCTCCAGAAACCTGCAGCTGTCTCCAGATGTGACCTCTGCTGATCCTGATGTGGAGGAACTAGCTCACATTGTGTTTACATCTGAGGATGTTCAAAGTCAATGATTCACACTTAAACACACACAGACCAGTTAGATGATGGGTGTTTAACTCAAGGCCCGAGGGCCAAATCTGGTCTGCGGGGGGTCCAGTGCAGCCCGCTGGATGACTTTACTATTGTGAGAATTACAAAAAGACACAAATAGCTTTTCTATAAAAGTAGCTGCTATTCCTAATCAGTCCACTGGGGGTCGCACTGGTCGCCAGCCAATCGCAGGGCCAACACAGAGACACACAACCATTCACACTCACATTCCCACATCTACGGGAAATTTAGAGTCCCCAATTAATCCCAGAGCATGTCTTTGGACTGTGGGAGGAAGCCGGAGAACCCGGAGAGAACCCAAGCAGACACGGGGAGAACATGCAGACTCCACACAGAAAGGCCACATGGCGGAATCGAACCCAGGACCTTCTTGCTGTGAGGCGACAGTGCTAACCACCACACCACCGTGCCGCACAATACTAATCATGGTTATTATTATTTTCTATCTTTCATCGTAGGCGTTGGACAACAGTACTTTCTGATTGATGTTGTCTTCGTGGACAGATGCGAATACTTCCAAAGCCATTCTATTGTCTCTCAATCACAACGATGTGAGCGTGATGATGTCTGGGCCGTGGTGACTGATAATGCTGCTCACTGTCTGAAGGAATACAGGAGGCTCTGAGAGGAGTGTTGCCCAACAGCGTACATGTAACCTGCCTCTGCCATGTCATCACGCTGGTGGGTGAGACCTGGCAGCTCTGCAAATCATTCTCAATTGTGACATGGATGAGATGTGCCTGCTAGAAAGAGAAGATGCTGCTTCCTCATCAGCAAGGAGTTTGTGCAAGCTAAGGCTCCGAGTTGCACTTGGAATTGAAGTTTACAATGTTTTTGATATTTCCACCAAAGTTAAGTTGAATTTCCAAAATGTTTTATTGTTTACTGCACGGGCTGTTGCAATTGTTATGCACCTTTGTTAGTAGACATTGACAGGACTATTCTTACTTAGTTTGATCTTACAAAGAACTAACGGCATTTTTTGTTGAGTCATGTATTTTGTTTAATTTAAACAAATAAACCTGAATTTATTTTGGAATAACTGTTCTGTTTGGACACACAGAAAATATATTGCCATGTTTTTATCATGCAGCATGTTTTTGCCTGAAATAAGGTTCTATGTATGGAAGTTTTCAGTTTTAACTGAATATATTGTCTACATTTCAGTTCTTAATTCACTGTCTCTGCGTGAAATGTTAAAAACCAAATTCTAAAAAATTAAAAAACAAAGAATTTGTGGGAAAAATTAAACCGGAATTTGAGAAAGAATGAAACAGATATTATAGGGCCCTACTTACTCTGTGTCATAAGAACGGCGTCCATCGTTGAAGTTAAACCATCGACCCATAGACCAATCACTCTTCATGGACAAACATCTGGGTTCAGGAGACTTTCCTCTCTGCTGATGTGAACTGAAAGAAACACTAAGATTACATCATCACATCATCATCTAATCATGAAGCATCAGCTCACATGGTGTCCGTCCTCACAGAGACCAAAACAAGGTAAAGGTCCATGACGTGAGGTCTGGATGTGGACCACATGACTCCCTGTAGTGGTTTAGGTCTACTGGTCCTGCTGGTCCCACTGAGAATCAACAGCTCAGTCTTTCAGCTCACTGTTTTCTTCACCAGTCAGTTTGGTTTAGTCCCAACAGGTCTCACCAAGTCCTCCATGGAGCTCTCCCTCCCTCACCGGACACTGCTGAAGGGCCCTGGAGCAAGAAACCCAGAACCTCCACCAGAGAGTCTGGTAGAAACACCTCATCAGCCTGAGACCCTCACCTTGTATCAACAGACGGATCAACGTCTTTGAAGAGTAGAGGAGGCTCCATAGACCGGTTACTGTTCATGGACACACAGCTGGGTCCAGGTCCTGGTCTCTGATGGATCCTGGGTCACACATAAAGAGTCAGAGTCTGTCCAACAGAAAGTCTGATAGAAACATCTGGGCTCTTTCTCAATATGCGGCCTGTTCTCGGGGAGTCTTCTTGAAATGACCCGCTGGTATTCAAGTTATACATGAGATGAAACTATACTATAATTCAGCTTATACACATACAGTATATATGTATATATACACATGAGATATAGACTATAACTAGGCTGCGTGTTCATAACGTTTAATCTGTTGTCAGACTGATGTTCGTTCACCAGTAACGTTTCGTCTCTTTGAGATCAGAGTTTAGATTCATATCTGTTTAAATTAAACTTTAACATCTTGTCTGTATGCAGCTTGTTATTGTCTATTATTGTGCATTCAAAGGGACTCTGAGCTGTAATAATAATAAACGCATATTTTACAAATATGAATTATTGAGTATTTCTCCATAAGATCTTTCACGTGTGGTCATCTACATGCAATGAAGTGAAAATGTTTCTAGTTGTTTCCTTGTTTGACCGTGTAAGTGTTCCCCTGAGGTTAATCACTAATGATGTCCCCCATCTTACTGCAGCCTCATTGATCACTGTATCATAGACATTAAATACTATGAGGTTAATCACTATTGATGTGGACACACAGACGAGGTTCAGCTACAATTTAAATAAAACTTACATTCATTTACAGTTGTGTGTTTGTGCATTTAACTGGACGAGGACACTGATTATCACCCTCTTCATGTTTGAACTGTAGGTTATATTAACTAAAAGAACATTAATTGATTCGTTGTTGTTGCTCAAACCGTCTCTGTACTTTATGAAACATTTATAAAGCTGATGCAGTGTGATGTGATACATCATCCCTCAATTAAATGTTTACCTCAGTAACGTTTTGATGGGTTTCTTCCATCCAATAATATATTAGATCTACACCTGTCAGTGTGATCCAGTAACGTTCAGCAGCACCACAAACTGCAGCTGCTCCTCTTCATCATTAGGAAGATGTTCGATTGGACACACACATTATATATATATACACACACAATCAGACATACAATTAGCTAAAATATCTCAGTTATCAGATCAGACTTGCTGTCCAATCAATAAACAACTCAGCTGCTGTTCCACATGTGGAAATGAACGTTCTCTTGTACCTGTGAGTCCGTTCTCTCCGTCTCAGGTATTGAGGAAGGACCCTCATCATCAGCCTGAGACCCTCACCTTGCATCTACAGAGGGACCAACATCTTTGATGTCTATAGGATGATCCGAGGGAGGGACTCCGTCCTCTGGGTCCTCAGCCTGATTCATAGCAGAGTCCACACCTTCACACCTTCACACCAACCTGCTGGCAGAGCTCACACGTTATTATCTTCATCAGGACAAACACACAGAGCTCATTCACCTCAACACTAAAACTCTCATGGGACACTTTGTGTTGTTGTCTTGAGACAACGTGTCAAGAGACGTCATTTTAAATTCTCATCCTATAAATGTCGTGTTTCTTTTAAGCGCTTTCCTTTGGCAGGAGGCAGCGGTAAGGGAATAGTTCCCTCTCTAGCGTCGCTACCAGCTGGCTGTTTTCTCATTAAACTTGTTTTTGTGTGGTCATACGTGTTCTGTCTCCACACGCTCTCAGGTTCAAACTGCACCATATTTTCATTAAATACATCTGAGAAGTGAAGGATGTCCCTCGATTTGGGTCGGTTGTCATTGAGGGATGATGGTGGGTCCCGGAGCCACCAGACCAGCTGAGAACCACTGCTTTAAATAGTCGTATTCTGCCCCCTAGTGGTGGAGATGTGAACACGTTTACTCTCCTTAAAGTGTCTCTGAGCACTGAAGCAACACAACAATACTGGAAATAAATATCAGAGCCAACAGCAACGAGTCTGCCACCACAAACTGTGTTATTACCTACAGTAATAAATGTGTTGTTACTATATTAATAACTATATTGCGTCAAACAGCGCACAGATGAATGAGTATCTGTGTACATGGATGAATGTAAATGTGTCTGCGTGTAGTCAACTGCTGTTGTTAACACACGATGACGTTTCATATTCATTCTTCTAATGTTACTCTGCTATATTATAGATATTCTTGCGTCACAGACGGATTTCTATCGTACAAACGTTCTATTGCGTTTTACTGTTAAAATGTGCGCACTTCCGGTTTAGCGGCTGCGCTTCGGTTTCGTTTAAAAGGAACAAACAAAAAGGGATTTACAGAAAAACAGATCGGTCGTTTTTTCGTGTTTGGATTTGGACAGAAAAGGACATTTACTCGTTTGGTTTAAAGCGAAAAAACTCAAATAAAACGGTGTTATTTCCGTATTTTCGTTTTATTTCCGTATTTTTCGTCTAAACGGTAAAGGAACTTTGCAAAGGTTGACGGCCCGTTAACACACAAACACACAGTAAACACACGCTGTGTGTCACGGGACATACTCACACGATGTGAACACTTTAAGACGTTAAAGTGAAGCTTGGTGACTTTCTACGCGTCTCCCTCACGTCTTCTTCCGGTTTGTGCTGCTGTGCTCTCGCCTCCCGCAACACGCGCAGTTCTTGTGGAGGCGCTGGAAGGACAATGTGGGAAGTACTTTTCTGAGGCTGACTCCCGGCGCAGGGACAAGGCTTGGAGACAGTTTCCATCCAGAGACAACGCAGCAGACGGCACACGCCTGACAGTGACAGAGGAGGATCAGCTCATCCAACTATCCACTGACCGTACGTTCA